GAGGTTCAGTAGGTTCAATTTCTTGATCTGAGATTTCGGGGTTTTCATCTTCTCCAGCATTTTCATCGCAGATCTCGAGATCATTATCCATTTGTATAAAACTTGAAAAAGTTTGAGCATTTTCATCAGAAGTTACAGCTAACAATTTATTCCAATCGTCCTCAATCATCACATCCTCAATGTGTATTTCAGGGGTTAAGTTGGCGTCGTTTTTAATGTTCCAGGCTTTCTTAAAACAATTACTGATCGTTGTTGCAGTTACATCATTCCACGATGCAGCCATTGCCCTCATCGCTTGTAAAATATTCCATTTTACACATGGTTGATCGGAATCAAGGCATAACAGTGCATGGCGTACAAGTCTAGTCTAGAAATATCGTTTAAAAGCTGCAATTATTCCTTGATCCAGAGATTGTAACCTGGATGTGCAATTTGGAGGAAAATAAACTATTTGTACGTTTGGAAATTCCAGGTCTCCAATATTATTATGGGTACTGCAATTGTCCATAGTCAAAAGTACATTTCTATTCCGAAGTGCCATTTTTCGTTGAATTTTAAGTAACCATAGGCGAAAAGATGTTGAATCGACCCACGCGTTTTTTTGATTAGTGTATTCGAATGGAAGACTAAGCTTATTTACGTTTTTAAAGCATCTGGGGTTTTGATATTTGCCTATCACCCAAAGCTTGAGTTTTTCCGAGCCAGTAGAGTTGCAGCACAACACAACAGTCAATCTCTCTTTACTCTTTGCACCCCCATGCGACTTCACTTCTTTAAAATCCAATGAACGGTCGGGAAATAAATTATTAAAAATATCGGTCTCATCAATATTGTAGATATCATTTTCGCTATAGGATTGCCTCACCTTTACGAACCCTTGAAGCCATTTATTTACGTCTTCATCTGCAACTTTATTTGCCTCGCCGCTCAAAACATGACAAGAAATATTATACCGTTTTTGAAATCTCCATAACCAGCCATCAAAACACGCCATATGCTCAACGCCATTGGAAATACAAATCTCCTTTGCTTTCTCCCTTACAAGTGCACCTGATAGTGGAATGTTGGAGTCTTTGGCTTTTTTGAACCACTTCAGAAGTTCCTGTTCAACGTCTTCAAGCATGGGTTTTCGTAGACGCTTTGTACTGTTGGTTGAACCAAGCGCAACTGCTTCGTCAATCTTATCTTTATTTTTAATAATTGTTGATAATGTTGATTTTGGTATGCCAAATTTCTTCGCGATTTTGGTTTTAGGCAGTGTACCTTTTTCGACTTCTACTTAAATGAGTTGTTAAGTTTTTAGATCTATAGACATTTGCTTCCTTTTCAAACTCATTTTGGTCAATCACTAATGACACCAACAAAGTCAACTGATCAACTGATCGATAGAGCAATTATTAGTTTAAACGAGAGCGATTATCGCCGAACTAGATTGCACACATACAAATTTACACATGTATACATATGTATGTACCTACAATAGAGAATATGTACATACATAGTAGGGATAAGATAAGATATCGATAAAACTGTGTTGTAAAGATTAAATTACTAACTATACGAGGAATAAAACGAAAATAGATACATAGTATGTATTTCACGTGTATTTAAGAACACGAACGTACGTGTTTTTATGGAAACGGTGTTAAAGACCGTGTAATTCAAATACACGTGTACACGTGTATTTAGAGTCCGTGTATACGTGTATTTAGAGTCCATATACCCGTGTGACGTGTATTAAAAGTCCTTACGTTATGATCAGTGGTAGATACAAGGATGGGTAAAAGGGGCACGTGCCTTTGCCTCTCCGGCCTCCCCATTGTCATTTATAAAAAGTAAACATGAATTTAATTTAATTTTTAAATCTGAAACTTTTTTTTAATAATAATTACTGATTTGAGTTTTATTTAACGATTGTATTATAATATATTTGACAGTAAAACACTATAAAGATAACTTATAAATACGACAAAAACCAAACCAATTCTTTTAATAAACTACAAATTAGATTCATACATAATAATATAAATTATAAATGTTTTCGTATTTGCTTTTTCAATGAATATTTTTTATAAATAAAAATTACAATATAATAACAAAAATAATTTCTTAAACTATAAAGTATAAATACAATTATTAAAAATTAACTGTAGAGAATTTTTTCTTATGAAAACCTATGAATAAATAATTTAGGATAAAGAAACAAAAATATGAAATAATAATTAAACACAGTCAATGTATAATTATGAAAGAAAAAATGTACATTAAATGTTCTTTAATAATAATTGACGATTTTGATACAAAAATACTAACATATTAACATTTTCTGGTGCTAAACAGTTCCTTTTGGACGTAACGACATTCCCGGCAGTTGAAAAACATCGTTCCGAACTTATAGATGTTGCTGGTATTAACAAATATTTCTTTGCTAACTCGGCTATTAAAGAATATTTTTTTTCATGTGACTTCCACCATTCAAATGGATCAAAATCGTACCTCAGTTGTGGTTCTGCTAAGTAATAATGGTATTGTGTCGAAGCATCATTGATGTCACGAACTTCTTCGCCGTATAAAAATTCAAGTGCACCCCTATTTTTTTGAACACAAACGTTAGTTTCCTCTCTGTTATCCGAAGTATTCATTTCATTCAACCAGTAAATTTTTTACTTTGGAACGAATATTTTCCCTTACATCTATTTCTTAATGTTCCAATTCTTTATACCTCGGGTCAAAAAATGATGAGACTTGTCTTGTAGATACTATGTTTTTTAAATTGTTAAGCTTAAAACGTTCTTTCAATTGCGACACTACTGTCTGTTTGAAATTTATAACGACTTCATTATCATCTTTGTTTAGTTGTAAGTGTTTTTTAATCACTTTTGAAAGAAGTGGTCTAACCATTGATACAGAAGAATGTGTTTCGGCACAAAACACGGTTGTGACAATTTGTAATGGTTTTAACAAGATAATCAAAGTTTCCATTTTTGTTCAGTCACTTTCCGTAATTTCCAACTTTTTTGCTATTGAAACATTTGTTGTATTACGAACTGCTAAGACGTTTGTCACAGCACACCTGTTAGCATAAAGACGATCCAACATCATATATACTGAATTCCATCTTGTTTTACAACTTTGGATCAGACTTTGTTGTGTTAATCCGAGCTGCTCTTGCATTTTTGTTAAAACATGCTTAGCTACATTGGAATGCTTAAAATGACCAACCATTTTACTACTTAACTGAATTAGTGTAGTGATTCCATCTTGTTCTAATCCATTGTTGACCGCGAGTTGAATGCTATGAGCAGCGCATGTTACATCGTATGTTTCAGAGATATTTGTCAGTAACTGTACAGCATTTATTGCATTTCTCGCATTATCTGTGAAAACTGTCATAATTTTTCCACCAATTTCCCATTTATCAAACGTATCTTCTAATTGATGAGCAAGATTTACAGCAGTATGAGATTCCTCCATTGCATGTGTTGTAAGTGTATATGACTTCGGGCACCATTGATCATCAATTATATGAGTAGTAACTGTAATATAGCTGTGTTGAGATAATGATGACCAACAGTCAGATGTACATGCTATACTTTTAGAATCACTTAATTTTTTCTTTATTATTTCTGTTACTGACGATCTTAACACTTTAATTCTGGATTTTATTGCTCCTTCTTTACAAATTTTATAATTAGGTTCAACAATAGCCATAAATTGTTTAACACGTTCACCGCCCAATACTTTTTTGAAAATCTCAGGACAAACCCAAACCCAATATAGTTCATTTCTAGTTCTAAGAACTTATATTTTTATAGTTTAGACCTTAAAATTTTTTTTTACCATCCCTTCCTGTTTTTAAGGCATGTCACATATTTGTGTCATAGGTTTATATGAACAAAATTATTATTACATAAAACCCAATGTCACACATAATTGACATTTTATTCTTTTTTTTTCTAAATTGTTTGTATACCAAGATAATATTTTTTTATATTAATTGGAATAATAAAAACAAAATAAATCAACACGTTACAAAAAAAAAAAAAAAAAATGAAATCGTTTATAATTAAAAAAAAAAATTTATAATAAAATCAACACATTATAAAAATTGAAAATCAAATCGTTATAAAATTTAAGAAAAATATATAATAAAATCAACACATTATAAAAATTGAAATTAAATCGTTATAAAATTTAAAAAAAATATATAATAAAATCAACAAATCATAAAAATTGAAAATGAAATCGTTATAAAATTTAAGAAAAAAATATAATAAAATCAGCACATTATAAAAATTAAAAAACCAAAATGAAAAATCAATCCGTTACCCATATAAGAAGTAGGTAAAAAAACAAATTTAATTCGACGTAGAAATCGACTATTTTTAAAATTAAAACAAAAAGATTAACAAATAAAAATTAATAATAAAGAAATTATGAGTGGAATATTTTAAAACAAGGGTCTGGGCACAGTCCTATTGTTTTTCCTTTATCGTCAATACATATGTCACATACGAATGAAGTATTTTTTCGAATCTTCTTTGAATGGCAAACTCTACATCTTTTTCTCGTATCAACTTTTTTAACCACATGTAGATTCATTACACTAGTTGAAGGACTTGAGGTGTTTACAGTGGTATGTCCAATTCATTGGCTGGCAACTTTCCTTCTAAACTCCAAATGAGGCATATTTTTAACATTACTGTTATATAAATGGTTCCCGTTCCATAGACAAATATCCATTATATGAAAAAGAAACTTTAACATACCAGCGCATACTTTTTCTTGGTATTGGATAATAACTTAACATTTGATCTACTCTATCAATCCCGGACATTTTAGTATTGTAGTCAACTACCATATTTGGTTTCAATTTGCTTCGTCCAAATTTATCAACTACATTTTCAAAATTTAATTTATGTTTGGATGATATCATGCATACATCTCTTGTATCTCTCCATTTTATTACATGTTTATTTCCCTTTTGGGAGTGACTTACTTCACCTTTTTTTCAATTTAGCGTTCAAAACATCTTTAGGGTTATCTTTTCTGTTTTTCCGTAAAGTTCCCACGTTTGTGATTTTATTAGCATATAGATACTGAACTAATTTAACACTATTGTAAAAGTTGTCCATAAATAAAGTATGGCCTTTACCAAAATAATTTTGCATTAATTTAGTAACTATGCCAAAAGTTACTCCATTCTCGTCTACAACTGTTCCTTTTCCCTTGTAAATAATAAAGTTCAATAGAAAACCATCCGATGAGCAAAGTTCATAAAATTTTATACCATACTTATGGGCTTTACTAGGTATGTATTGTCGAAAGGTCAGCCTTCCTCTCCACAACATCATTGATTCGTCCAAAGACAAATTTTGTTTCGGATAATATTTCGTTTGGATATTATTTATGACATGTTTTGTTATGTTATTTATTTTATGCAGACGATCAGATCTGTTCACTGATCTAGGATCGTAAAAGCATAAAAATCTTAAAATGAGTTCGTAACGATGACGACTGATTGTTTTGCTAAAAATTGGGCGGAAATCTAGTTTGAACTTAGACCAATACGTACCTAGCGACGGAAATTTCAAGTATCCCATTACAATACTGAGACCAAGAAATTTTTTTAGTTCGTCAACATCAATATCTTTCCACCTATTAAGATTAGAATATCGGCTATGTCCTTTATTAATCACACTGTTTGCTCTTAGATTTATCCACGTAACAATATTTTTAAAAAGGTCGTCATCAAAAATAGATTAAAATAATTAAAAGGTTCAGAATTTGGTATATTACACTGTAAGCCAGGAATCCCGGTGAATTCAACAAATTAGGGTTCGATATTTATATCAAAATTCCATTCAGAATTTTCTAAATTAATATCATTTTCCACAAAAATACCATCAGCATGTTCACTATCAGATTCATTACCTGGTGGAAGATACTCTTCAGAACTACTGTAATCTTCCTCGTCAGAGTCTGAATCAAAACTGTAATTTAACATTTCATTGATTTGTTCAGGATCCATTTTTCAATTTTGGCGTTTTTTTCCACGAAAACGAAATAAAGTTATTTTTAAAATGTTAGTATCAACTATGATAACGATTTGCAAGTGTCTGAACACAGTGATACCAAGTGAAAAAATAAATATAATAAGCAATGAAAAGAAAAAGATCGATAAAAATCACGTAACATTAATTTTGATTATCTCGCTATCTAGTGGTTCTAACAAAAAACCACATACATCAATAGATAACGTAGGTAACGTTTAATAAAACCATAATGCTATGATATTTGTTTGAAGAAACCCAAACCCACCATAAACAGTAGAAAATCATATACCAAGTGTCACATATGTGACACTTGGGTTTTTTTAAAGAGACCCCATGTCACATATATGTGACACGTGGCGGCGAACGTGTTAAAACCTTCATTTGAACAAAAAGATATGGGCATTTGATTCACGGCTATCATTTTTGCCAATACTTGATGTATCTGTTCGGTTTTTTCAGAATTGTAAATTTTGTCGTCCTCCCGATTTATAAAAGTTCGTCGTCGTTTCCTAGGTATTGACGCGTCAATTTCCAAACTTTGCGATTCTGAAGAACTTGCAGTCGTAGTTGAACTGGTTAAGATATCGGAATTAACAAATTCATGACCAGAAACAACCCTTTATTAATGAGAAAATATATAGATAAGTTCCTATGATTAGTATTTTAAAATTTTGAATATTTTATTTTAAATATATTGTGAACTATGATGAAAATTCGATGCATTCCTAACTATTATTTACTAATTTTAAGTCTTTACCTATCTATATTCTATATTATACATATTAATATTTAATATATATATATAACATAATAGGTATAATATTTCTGTTAAATAAAACAGCAAAACATAATTTTACTTTAAAAATCAGATTATATTTCTAAATAAATACAGTGTGATCACGATAAGTGGAAACACTCAATAACTATGTGCAGACTTAATATAATTTAATATTGTTATTTTATTATTTTATTATTTGTTTAATTATAATACGTCATATATAAAAAATATTCTTTGTAAAAAAAAGATAATTTACGGTTTATGAACATAATATATATTATATTAAATGTACTTACCTTCGTGTTACAGTTGTAGGTGGTTTTATACTATGTATAGTTTTTAAATGTCTGCCCAAAGATCCTGTTGTTCCACCAATACAACAAAATTCATTGTTTTCATTTTCGGTACACAAATCACAGTAAGCTTTATCGCCATGCCGTTTAGCATACAGCCACACCCAACTTTTACACTTATTACTCATCTTATGAATTAATAAAATAGTTATCTATTGTTATTTGAGTATGGAAACATATGACAATGTACAAGACGTGAACAACACACAAATGAAATAACATCACTCCAAATTAAAGAACCCAACTCGTAATTTAAGTTTTATTAATAAAATGTATTTACGAATTTGCGATAATGTTGTTATCTTCACTATTAAATATCTATCATACTCGTTAAAGTTGCTTCAAGGACGTCGTTCCATAAATTAAAGTTAAAAATATTAACTCTAGACTTTGACAAGCTTGCCGTACTGGCTTCGTCTATCTGTTAGTAAATGTCAATTATCGGCCGATAACAAACAATATAAGAGACAAAATAACTCAGTACACGAAAATTGTATAGCACACGTCAGAATAACATGGCAATATTATTAATAAAAAAATAAAAAGTTTCTGGACTTTAAATACACGGGTATCTGGACCTTTAATACACGTGTATTAAGATACACGTGTACACGAACTTTAAAAACACGTGTAATTAAATACACGGGTATTACTACATTTTATTGTACATGTTCGGACTACGTGTACACGTGTATATCAATACACGTACCAAACCGAGAGCCTTAATACATACATATGTACAGATTGACATTTTTCTGTTCGTGTTAATCAACAAAACGACAATATGGTCCTAAAATTTGTTCGAGTTTCGTGTTAACCGAAGTAATAAAAAAAACCCTATCTTATAGTATAGAGATCTTTCTCGGGACCGAAAAACCTGTTCGTGTTATCCAATAATTTGTGTTAACCGAGTTCGTGTTAACGAGGGAGTACTGTAGTTAGTATTATTTATTTTAAGTACTTTAATTATTTTAAGTATTTTTACTTACTTGTTTTGAACTTGATTTAGAAGCTTCGAATGGGTTTTTAGGAGCACCAAAATGTTTAGTACCGACTTTTTTACCATTATGTATATTTTTTTCATGTTTTTGTTTATAATCATTGTCAAATGATTTGCCACATTCCAAGCACTCTAATTTAATCCGCTTTCGTTTGCCGGAATTTTTTTTCATTTTTATTGCCAAAATTCATGATTATATTTTAAATAGCAAAATGCAAAATTATATGAATAACAGAATAAATAAATAAATATTTTTTTAGGTATTTTTAACTTTTTATCAACCATTTTAATTTTTTTTGTTTTAGACGAACTTGATATTTTAATCCAAAACGTTATTGTGAATGCATGTTGTTATTGTGAAATACCCTCTAGCATAGTTGATCATTTTGATTTTAAAACTCTAATTCAAAAAGGCTTTCCTGGGAGAGCACTTATGTCTCGTTCAACTTTAATGAAAAGATTAAATACTCAATTTCAACACCATTTAATCCGTCTTAAAGAAGAAATGTCTAATATTGAATATCTTACTACCACTGCTGACTGCTGGTCAATATTTAAAAGGTAGGTAATCTACAATTTTAATAGTATTATTTAGTAAATATCAGTAGCAGTTTTGAAAAAAACTTTAAGGGAAAAAAAATTTAGTATAATGGTATAAAAATATGCAAAAAGAAAATTATAAATTACTATTTTAGAATATTAAGATATTAACAAAGTCCCATAATGGGGAGCAATCAGCTGTTCAAAGCCATCACTGCTGAATACATTTAGAAAATTGATTATTTTATAATTTTTTGATAGATCATATATAGGCATTACTTGTCATTAGATAGTTAATGAAGATTTAAATAGAAAATCTTGTTTACTGACTGTAAAACGATTGGAAGAGAAACATACATTTGATGTATTAGCAAAGGAAATGGAATCTGTGTACTTAAAGTATGATATAAGTAACAAAATAAGTTATACAACTACAGACAATGGTTCAAAATTTGATAAAAGTTTTAAGTAAGTAATAATTTACCAGATTTATGTAATTTATCTGCATAGAATCTAGACAAATTTTATAAAGGTATTAGTGTATTAATAATTTGATTGTATGTATAACACATTTAAAAAATAAAATTTAAACAGAGGTTATTCACTATAAGTTAGTTTTATTATTGATAAAATTATCAATGTATCAATTTAAAATTTTTTTACTAGGCTGCTAAAAACAATTTATCTTTTCAAATTATTTTATATATCAATACTTATTAATTATTATTAATACAATTTCAGAATTTTTGGAAAAGATAATAATATTGACAACTACAGTGATACTATATCTAATATTGATGAGATTGAAGAAGAAACAAATACTGAAATGATCAATATTGCTGATGTTTTTAATGAAAATATATTTTCTGATGACTTTAATTACAGTTTACTCAAACATCATAGATGTGCTGCTCAGACGTTAAATTTAATTGTAACAAATGTAAATATTCAGATCACTACCTAATATTATTATTATTTTTCAATATTATTTCATCAATAGTGATATTATTATTAAGTAGATATTTTTTTTCTCATTACAATACAAAATAAATTTTTATGGGAAGATTTGAAACTAAATACTCGTACATATTTTAACTGTCTTTAGGAAAAGTGCTAATAAAATATCTTAAAATAACTTTTTTTAAATATTATTCAAATTGTACTTTCTGATCTTTATTGAAATATACATATAACCAATAAAACCTTGTAAAATAAAATCTAAAATAATATTAATTTAACTGTCTCCAAAATAACCACCAAATGTGTGTTATATACTTTAAATTCATAATTAGGTGGTTTCATCAGTTTCGTGGATGGTTTTTAATAATTGTATTTAAAATATGTCACAGGATATTGAAAATGCAGTGAATAAATGCGACATTAGAAGAGACACTAGACATAGTGATTTGTTACTTTTAAAAAAACAGAGAAGACAGACAATTACCAAATACACAGCTCTATGGAACAAACAAAATAGGTCTACTACTTCAGGAGATATTGTTAAAAAATACTTAGGTGTCTATCTAAAAAACCCCAATGAGACTAGGTGGAATTCTTTTTTTGACTCAACCAAACATTTATTGTTACATTTAAAAAAAAATCCTGGGATATTTTTAAGAATGTG